CCGGGTGCGGCCCCCCAACCCCCTGATCGGCCCTGCTATGTGTGTGATAGGCTGTGGCGCCCCAACTCCAGCCCCCCCTCCACGGGCCCTGCTCTGTGTGTGACAGGATAGAGCCATAACCTCCCCATTGGCCCTGCCCTGAGTGTGAGAGTGGCGGCGCCCCAACCCCCCTATTGGCCCTGCTCTGTGGGTGATAGAGGGCGGCGCCCCAACCTGCTGATCCGCCCTGCTCTGTGTGTGACAGGGGGGGACGGTGCCCCAACTCCCCTATCGGCCCTATTCTGAGTGACATCTTTAGGTACATTCACGCTGTTGTGAACAATAAGCGCAGTTTTATGTTCTAGTTGAAAGACCTAGGAAGAAGCCAGTGTTTGAGTGCCTAGTTAAGTCACAAATTAAAAATAACAAAATGGCATCTATATATTTATATATATAAGCCTAAACAACCAAACAACTGGAATGACTGACTGACCAGTCGCTATGATGTGCACTGCCCCCTGGTGGTCAGTGTGTTCCCACAGCCAATCTCAAACTGCGCTTATTGTTCACAACAGCGTGAATGTACCTAAAGATGTTTTTGCTAAGTAAAAAAAGGCAGTCAAAGACAAATACATGATCTCACTCATATGTGGAAATTGATGAAGAAAATAAAATTATGAACAAAATAGAAACAGAATTACAGATACAGAGAAAAGACTGACAGCATTAGAGGAGAAGGGTTTGGGGGGCTGAGTGAAAACAAAACAGAAATAGCCAACAGTATGTGATTACCAGAATGAAAGGAGTGTGGGGAGGTAATTAAGGCAGAAAGAGACTCAACTTTGAGTGGTGAGTGCAGGATACATTATACAAATGATGTATTCAGTTATACACTTGAAACCTGTATGGTTTTATTAACCAACTAGAGGACCAGTGCATGAAATTCTTGCATTGGGTGTCCCTCAGCTCAACCTGAACCCTCTCCAATCCAGTCCTGCTGGCTCCCAACTGCTCGCCTGCCTGCCTGATTGTCCCTAACCACTTCCCTGCCAGACTGATCGACACCTAACTACTCTCCTGCTAGCCTAATTGATATCTAACTGATCCCCTGCCAGCCCAATCACCCCCAAGTGTCCTTCTCTGCTGGCCCGGTCACCCCCAACTGCCCTCCCCTAGAGACCTGGTTACCCCAAGTGCCCTTTTCTGCTGGCCCAGTCACCCCTAATTGCCCTCCTCTGCAGGCCTGGTCGCCCTTTACTGCCCTCCCCTGCTGGATTGATTGCCCATAACTGCCCTCTCCTGACGGCCATCTTTGACCACATGGGGGTGGCCAGTTATGCAAAAGAGTGACAGTCAATTTGCATAGTATCTCTTTATTATATAGGATGTCACCCAGATAAATAAAAATCCATTTTAAAAATAAAATAGTTACATGTATTGTTTCTATATGGAAATGTTTCTAGCACCATGTTATGTAATATTTTAAAATGATTTCTTTCAAATATTACAAAACACTTATTGCTATAATTCTTATAATTTTGATAACATAAAAAGAAACTTGCTTAAATAGGATTAGGACTTAACTTTTGCTTAAGTAAATATCACTGAAATTCTGTATATAAGTATCCTTGTGAAGATCAACTAGGACTAGAGAAATTCAATTCCTGCAGCTTTGTAAAGTCTTGCCAAATTTAAATTATAGAAATACCAGAGGCCCGGTGCACAAAATTTGTGCACTTGGGTGGGGGCGGGGC